ACGGAGGCGTAGTGGAACGCGCGCAAGAACCAGCACGTCCAAAGCCAGGGCGGCAGCCATAACGGCGGCCACGGTGGCTCCGGCGGGCCAGGCGGGTCCGGTGGACAAGGCGGCGGCTCGAATCGTCGGGGCGCCGGTCAGGGCGGCGGCGGAAACGGCGGCCGCGACGGCGCGCCGAACGGGGAACACGACATGTCTCAGGTGAAGTGCTACAACTGCAACAAACCTGGGCATTTCTGGAAGCACTGCACCGAGCCGCGTCGTGAACGCAAGGATCAGGCGAACCTTGCGGTCGCGGGCAACCAGGACGACGAGGCGGCACTTCTGCTCGCCACGGTCACCGCGCTCACTGTCACCACCGAGCGCCCGGTCGAGCGGGTTCTTCTCAACGAGGAACGCACCCAGGCGCGCGCTGCCCAGGAGGGTGGCACCTGCGACACCTCCTGGTACCTGGACACCGGGGCAAGCAACCACATGTCCGGTCGCCGCGAGATCTTCTCCGAGCTCGACGTGGGAGCGAGGGGGACCGTGAAGCTCGGTGACGGGTCCAGTGTGCAGTTCGAGGGGAGAGGGACGATCCACTTCGAGTGCCGCAGCGGTGAGCATCTGACGCTCGCTGAGGTATACTACATACCCCATTTGTGCAGCAACATCTTGAGCATCGGTCAGATGGATGAGCTCGGCTGCGAGATGGTGATCCACGGCGGGGTCCTTCGCCTCCGCAATCCGGACGGGCGGCTGCTCACCCGCGTGGCACGCAACGCGGGGAACCTCTACGTACTTCCCCTGGCGCTAACCAAGCCGGTGTGCCTGCTGGCGAGTGGTGACGACACGGCGTGGCTGTGGCATTCGCGCTATGGCCACCTGAACTTCAGGGCGCTGCGCGATCTCGCGCGCCTAGAGATGGCGAATGGCGTGCCCCTTGTCGACCGCGTCAAACAGTACTATGAAGGATGCGCCCTGGGCAAGCAGCACCAGCTCCCGTTCCCGCAGGCCTCGCCGTACCGCGCAGATCACGCGCTCGAGCTCGTCCACCCGGACCTCTGTGGGCCGATCAAGCCGGCAACGACCGGAGGTAATCATTTTTTCCTGCTGGTTGTCGATGATCACTCACGATACATGTGGCTGGAGGTGATCAAATTAAAAGACGAGACATTTCAACGCTTCAAGAAGATCAAGGCTCTTGCAGAGGCCGAATCTGGACGCCGGCTCATGGCGTTCCGCTCCGATCGGGGCGGTGAGTTCAATTCCACTGATTTTCGTCTGTACTGCGAGGATGGAGGGATCAAGCACTGCACCACCGCGCCATACACGCCGCAGCAAAACGGCGTGGTCGAGAGGTGCAACCAGACCGTGGTTGAGATGGCGCGGTGTCTGCTCAAGAGCATGGCCGTGCGCGTCATGTTCTTGGGCGACGTGGTCAAGACCACGGTGTACCTACTCAATCGATCCCCCACGCGCAGCATCGACGGGTAGACGCCGTACGAAGCGTGGCACAAGAAGAAGCCGACGGTCCATCACCTGCGCACTTTCGGGTGCACCGCACACGTCAAGCGGATCGGCCCCGGCATCAATAAACTGGCCGATCGCTCGACGCCGATGATTTTCATTGGGTACGCAGAAGGAGCTAAGGCGTACAGGGTGTTTGATCCGGCCACGAACAAGGTGCACGTCACGCGACGTCGTTTTTGAAGAACGGAGGAAGTGGGACTGGACGCCGGCCCCAGGTGCTACGGCGACCCCCATCGACGAACACTTTGTGGTCGTCTACATCGACGAACAGAGCGTCGACATGCAGTCTGCCTCGTCGAGCTCAGACGGGTCGTCCACGGCATCCTCTTCATCGAGCTCTTCCGCATCGAGGGGTTGTTCGGCCACACCAACAACACCAGCGCGCTCTCCAGCCCCTGATGACGAGGTTGGGCTACGCCGCCCAGTGACGACTGGGAGCGGCATGACCTCGACCATGCGCCAACACGCTACCGCAAGATGACGGATGTACTGGTTGAGGTGGAAGCGGCGAGAGAAGACCAAGTTGGGCTCTGCCTCATCGCTGCTGAAGAGCCCTCTGGGGTCGATGAAGCCTTGGAGGAGGCGTGCTGGATGCGTGCCATGGACGCCGAGCTGGTCGTGATCCGCGAGAACAAGACCTGGGAGCTTGCCGCGCTCCCGCCTGGGCACCGAGCGATAGGGCTCAAATGGGTGTTCAAGGTCAAGAGGGATCCCGCCGGCAAGATTGTGAAGCACAAGGCACGCTTGGTGGTGAAGGGCTACTCGCAGCGGCAAGGCGTGGACTATGACGAGGTGTTCGCGCCGGTGGCTCGCATGGAAACAGTGCGGCTACTGCTGGCGTTGGCGGCATGGCAAGGATGGCAAGTCCATCACATGGACGTCAAGTCGGCGTTCTTGAACGGCGATCTGATCGAGGAGGTCTACGTGCACCAGCCACCGGGTTTCGTCATCGCCGGCGAGGAGGGAAAGGTACTGCATCTTCGGAAGGCCATGTACGGTCTAAAACAGGCGCCCCGAGCGTGGTATGCCAAGCTCGATGCGTCGCTTGCATCGCTCGGGTTTGAGCGCAGCCCCCTCGAGCATGCGGTGTACAGGAGGAGCACCGGTGCGGCGACACTGCTGGTCGGCGTGGTGCCCCGATGCTGCGACCGATCTTATCATCACCGGTGGCAGCATCGACGACATCAAGGCGTTCAAGGAGCAGATGCGCAGAGTGTTTGACATGAGCGATCTCGGTCTCCCGAGCTATTACCTTGGGATCGAGGTACATCAGAAGGACGGACAGATCACTCTCTGTCAGAGTGCCTACGCCATGAAGATCCTCGAAGCTGCTGGGATGAGGGGGTGCAACGCTAGTGACACTCCGATGCAAAACCGTCTCCAGCTGTCCAAGACAGGCGCAGGCGACGCCGTGGATGCCCCACGGTACAGAAGCGTCGTCGGCAGCCTACGATACCTCTGCAACACTCGACCCAACATCACCTACGCCGTCGGCATCGTCAGTAGGTATCTGGAGGCGCCAGCAGAATTGCATTGGGCTGTAGTGAAGCAAATCCTCCGCTATGTTAGTGGAACTTTGGAGTATGGTTGCTGCTACAAGCGGGGAGGAATTTCAGCGCCGGAGGTGATTGGCTACAGCGACAGCGATCACACCGACAATGGGGATGATCGGCGGAGCACGACTGGAGTGGTGTTCTTCCTCAACTCCAGCGTGATCACCTGGATATCTCAGAAGCAGAAGGTCGTCGCCATCTCGTCATGTGAGGCTGAGTACATGGCGGCGGCATCCGCGGCATGCCAAGGTGTGTGGCTGTGCAGGCTCCTTGGCGAGCTCACCGGCGACGCGCCAAACAATGGCGAAGCTGCGCGTCGACAACAAGTCGGCGATCGAGCTCAGCAAGAACCCAGTGCATCACGAAAGAAGTAAGCACATTGGCATACGATATCATTTCATTGGTGAATGCATTGAAGATGGCAAGGTGGATGTTGACCATGTTGGCACTGATGGACAGCTTGCCGATGTTCTCACCAAGGCGCTGGGCAGAATCAAGTTCATTGAGCTGCGACAGAAGCTCGGCGTCGTTAAGGTGATCTCTGGGCACAAGGATTAGGGGGTGAATTGTTGAGCTTGTAATCCTTTGCCCGTTAGGATAGTTTGTTTTTCAGTTAGCTCAATAACCGGCTCTGTCTCGTGTGCATGTACACGCAGAAACTGTCTTTATTTTCAGTTAGTAGCTAGCTAGATTAGTGCGGCTGTTGTGAGCGCATGGGATGGCATGCAACGTAGGACTCGACTCGCACTCACCTCGTGCACGACGGGCGACATGGGATGACACGTCCGGTAGGCTCGGCAGCGTGGAGGTTTTCCCGTTCCTTAGTTGATGTACACATATTCTGAAAATTAATGAGAAAAGCTGCAGAACCGTGCGCAGCACAAAACCTTGTGTGTGTCTTCGTCTACCTCTTGTTCTCCTTGCGATAGCGATCTAGGCCTCGTCGGTGTTCTTGGGTTCAACAAGAAGAGGAGGCACAAGGATCACGGATGTCGTCAGTCTCATGTTGGTCGCGCCGCTAGCATGGTTTGTGCCAAGCCGCAACGACCACGAGGCCGACCCATCCACATCCGGCGACGTCCACATGACAGACTCTGGCCGGGAAGAGTAGGAGTTGGGACACCGACATGGACAAGTCTCGTGTCCCATGTGAGCCGTGTCCCATGTCATATTCTTCCCCTCCCGTAACTTCACTTCACAGAGCTCGTGGCCATTGAACTAGCTGGACATGGGGAAGACAGATGCAAAACACGAACGCTCCATGATCGACAAATATTTAGACTGGGATAAAAAGGTGTCGTCCGCTTTCGTTTAATTGAAACATATCTAAAATGTAATTATTTTGATCCGGTTTGAATGAAAATTATTTGGTTTGTATGAACTTTACCTAATTTGTTTAAATTCTACTCCCTCCGTCCCATAATATAAGAGCGTTTTTTACACTATACTAGTGTCAAAAATGCTCTTATATTATAGGACGGAGGGAGTATCTGAGATGTTTCTGGAGTTTGATCATTGGATGGCCTGCTCGTAAACGGATATCGTATCTGTTTTAGGGGCTGGCGTTGTAGATGCCCTTAGTTTGGTCTTTTTTGTATGCTTTGGCACATGTAAGATGAGTGATGGCAGATGCACCAGAGTTGTACAAATACTAGTATTCTTTTAGGGGCTGGCGTTGGAGGTGCCCTTCTTTTTTGCATGCTCTGGCACATGTAAGATTAGTAGTGATTGCAGATGAACCAGAGTTGTACAAATACTAGTAGAATCCATTTATTCAAGAATACTGGCTGGATTACATGGTAACTTCATCAGATAAGTGCTCGCACCGATAGAAGCGCAAGGCCTGATCTGCATCGCCTCGCCTCTCTCGCTGAACATTATATTATTGTATCATTCAGCAGACAGGTGCGGCCGTATGGGCCACGGTATAGTTTATTACACACTACTAATGGATCCATTATAGCGTAAACAGTGGAAGAGGGTGTTCTTGAGGTGGTCCGGCGCGATTTTTTGTCAAAAGAGACCGCCTGCCGAATCGAAATGACAAAAAAGACCATCTCTGAATTAGATTGACAAAAGAGACCCCCTCGGTCGTGGCGGCAGGCGCGCCAGGCGACACGTGGCACCTGCCGCCACGCCGTGAGGCGGCCGACCCCGCCGCCACGCTGCCAGGCGGCGAGTCGCTGGCGACAGGATTCCAGGCGGCAACGGAACGGTGACTGGTCTGGTGGGCCACGCCGCCACCATTTGAGGCGGCCGCCACTGTACCTGCTGCGCTCGGGCCGACACACTGCTACTGCCGCACGCGGGACGGGTGGGCCCTGCCGCCACCGTGTGAGGCGGCTGGCACTGTAGCTGGTGGCACTGTATTATGTGTACCACACACTGGAGCGCATTTACTTGAACCGGACATAGCAGCTTTTTGGTCGTCCAATCAGCCTAATCACTAGAGATGATCTTAGCTAGCACCGGAAATGCATCTAGTCAAAACCGTGCATGAAATGATGCCACTCAGTGACCCAACCCGTGCATGCAATGGTGGCAGCAACTACAGTTCCGGCCGCCTCATACGGTGGCGGCAGGGTCCACCATACCCATGCTCCGTTCCGTCCTGTGTGGCGAGGGGCTAAAAAACTGTAATGCACAGGCTGCCGTCTAGCAGCGTGGCGGCGGGGCCGGCCGCCTCACGGCGTGGCGGTAGGTGCCACGTGTCGCCTGGCGCGCCTGCCGCCACGACCGAGAGGGTCTCTTTTGTCAATCTAATTCAGAGATGGTCTTTTTTGTCATTTCGATTCGGCAGGTGGTCTCTTTTGACAAAAAATCGTCCGGCGCGTCCTCGAAGGAGTGCTTCCTGGCCATTGAGAGGATGGTCTTGTTGGCGATGATGAAGTAGGCCATCCCGGTGACGGTGGAGATGATGAGCCCCTGCCCGTTCGGGATGAGGTGCGCCCTCGCCCACGACAGCATCCTCACGCTCGCCAGCTGCAGAGAAATTGCACGGACGACATCAGATGGTATTCTCAAAAATGTAGGGCGAGTCAGTGAGTGGTTGCTTCTAATGGACTCACGGTGGGGACTGCGACAGCGACGGTGGTGACAGTTGCTACCTTGGCTCCGGCCATGGCATCCTCTGCAGTTTGAGTTAAATGGTAAGCCCGATGTCACAGGATCAAGTCATGTGTCGGCACAGAGAGAAAGCAGCAAAAAAATGGCAAGAGTGCGTTGGCCGTAGGAGCAGGCCGCCGTTGATTACCTTTGGAGCAGTGCTTGGCGGCGACGAGCCTTTGGTCGAGGTAGGCGCGGGTCACCGTAGACATCTTTGCCGGAGAGAGCTTGGTGCCGAAGGAAGTGAACTAGTAGGTAGTGAACTCAAGTACACGTAGCTGTAGATCAGTAGTAGTCTGAGTGAGATGAGATGGATGAACAGCTGAGGCCAACTCCATCCCACGACCCCAAACGGACGTCTGATTTGGTCTGTTTTCGTCTGTTTGGGGCGGCAATGGAGACGTTCATGTCCGCCATAGTTTTAAATAGTCAGCAGCAAGGTGCCGCTAAATGATCACCTTCACAAATAGCCCGCTTTAGCCCGCTATAGCTGATTTGTAGGCCCGCCTCTATTTTTCATAGCCCGTTATTTAAAACATTGATGTCCGCTTGGGGCCGTTGGGTTGTCAGTGCGCCCAACGCGCAGCCGCACCCCGAATCATGTCCGAGGTGGACGTGATTAAAAAAATGTAAAAACTAAAACAAAATACCGAAACAAATAAAATAAATGCAAACATAAAAACAAACAACATAATTAAACATTACGGCCACAAAACGGCCTAGTTCCACAGTCCACATAGACATAATTAACATAAAACAAATAAAAGAAATTCGCCGCCCGCGCGCTCCTGCCGTGCCCGTCGATGCCGTGGTGATGCCTCCCGCTCCTTCCGAGCCTGCACCACCTCCTTTTGTGGCGACGCCTCCTGCTCCGGTGATCGCGGTGGCGTGGAGCACCATTTCACTCACGCCCCCGCGGCGTCGGCCATCTCCTGAACCATGCACGACCAGCTCCACCGCTGGCCCACCAGGCCCGGGTGGAACGCGGCGACGGGCTTGTTCTCCAACACCTCCTCGATCCTCACCATCTCTAGCTCCGGCACAGCCACGTCGCCGGGAGTAGAGAGGGTCATCACGGTCTCTAGGCCCACCCATTGGCGCTCGTCGTACATGTTCATGGAGTCTTCCATGACACGTTGAAGGAGCCGAACATCCTTCTCCTCTGTCATGCGATGAGGAGGTGGTGGCGACAAGGAGGGCGATGGCGACGGCGTCGGCGTGATGCCGCACACCACCCTACGCCCGCGAACTTGGGGAGGGCTGGAGCACGCGCGCGGCGCTCACGTGGCTGTCGCGGCCCAGACGACGTGCCGACGAAGGAGGCGCGCCGCATGTCGTGCTCGTCACGGAACCAAGTGTCCCAAAGGTTGGAGTCGACGGTGTACCTGGGGTCGTAGTACAGGTCGTCTGGCAGGAGGCGGCGTCACTCGATCTCCTCACGGCGTGCATGGCCGCTCGTAGGGACCGGCAGGATCGGCACCGGATCGGCGGAGAGATGCCAGTTATTGGGGAGGTGCACGTCGCTCCAGGGGAGCGGCGTCCTCTTCTCCCAATATCGACGGCATACATCCGCGTGGATGTAGTGCCGGTAGCGCTCGCCGGCGGCCGTGGGGGCGATACAGAATGCGGGCAGCGCGGGGTTCCCTCTGCGGTGGTGACGCATGCTCCTCTTTCACGCCGCGGCGGCGGCGGCCCGAGGACGAGCCAGCCTCGCAGTCGTGCTTCCGCTTGCGCCCGGTGTTCCAGAATCCCATGGTTGCGTGGCGGTCGGCCGGCGAGATCGAGGATGGGGAGAGGAAGAGCTAGGGTTTGGGGAGTGTCAGGTTTCGAGGAGGCAGCATGGGCTGGAGTGGGGAGTGTGGACTGCGACCGGTCCACGGCTTCCCATTTAAGAAGGAAGACGACCGTTCGCCTGGGCGGATGACAGATGAGGCCGACTGCGCGTGTACATTAAGGTCGGGCGGTGGGTGGTAGGTGACTGCCTGCCACGCGGCCTCGGAGCGGACGAACGACGTGTTCGTTTGCTGTCCGCCGCGATGCAAACTCGACACATGTTTGCGCTTGAAATTGATCGGCCCGAAAATAAAACGGACCAAATGGATTCACAATGTCGCGCGCTAGGCTGTGTACTATGTCTGTTTTGCTTCAAACAAACAGGGCCGAACAAGATGGGATCCCGCGCTGGAGTTGACTGAGGTTCTGTGGCTTGATTTATAGGTTGCAGGAAACTGCGCAACCAGCGGGCGGGGAAAAAGGCGATTTGATATGGTGGGAAGGGTATTGAGACGAGCGGCGGGCGGGCGGGATGACCGGCGCTGCGGCAGAGCACAGTTGGCGGCGGTTTGTTGTCGTTGGTCATATAGAAAACATAGCACGTGATGGGCGGGCGCTCCACTACACTCTCCACATGATAAGAGGCATGATCGATCCATCGGGGTTGGCAGGTCGTCTGCGTAGGATAACACATAGGTAGGAGCATGTGCATGAGTGCAGTGTCAGTCAGCGTGCACCCCATTTCTGTTTGAGCAGGTGCTCCTAATTTTCGGCCTAGATATAATATAATAGAAGTAACTGGGTCAATCAAGTGTCCAAATTCTAAAGAAAATTCATTATTGACGGTCCAAGATCATAGATATTGATAGATCGAACTTCCATTTATTTGTTGAATAGATAGTTGAACTAAGAATACCATCTCGGCTCGCCGCGTCGGCAATCAGGCCAATTCAGCTAGTGGTTGGGTAAAAAACAAATGGCGCGTCCATCTCCGGGGGAAAATTAACAAGTACTCCATCCGTTTTTAAATATTTGCTTTTTTTAGATTTTAAATTGACTACCACATGAGGATATATATAGACATATTTTAAAGTGTAGATTTATTCATTTTGCTTTGTATGTAGTTATTTGTTGAAATCTCTACAAAGACAAATACTTAAGAACGGAGAAAGTATTAGTTAGTTGACTTGAAAAAAATTAAACGAGACAAAAGATTTATCATTTTCATTAATTAAAAATATAATTCTTTAGTTAATTTAGAGAAATTTGGCAAAAACCATAACAACAAGCCCAAAAACGATCGTCATGGAACATGATAATACACATGCCAGCGGCTGATCTAGCTACCAACATAGACTTCACACATAAACGGAAAGAGCAACCGCCATGGCTGCACACAGGCGTCATCATCATCACCTATCACCCTGGATCAAGCGACTCCGACTTCATCGAAGGCGACCATCAACAAAACAATCATCAAAGGTTGATGCACGAAACCAACATCTACTAACAGAAAGCGGGCATTAGAAGCGGCCTCCGCAAGTGGTTGTGATCAAATAAAACGAAGTTGCCTGTATATATGCACACCGGAGGCGGTTAGGACAACATAACCGCTTGCAGTAACTATTGGAGGCGGCTGCTGACAAAGAAAAATTGCATTTACTATTGAAACCGCCTAAGCTTAGTGAGTAGATCAGGACAGGGCCTTCACTTCTCTTTGTCTACTGGTCCTCTGCCTTCACTTTAGTTTCCGTCCATTTCACTTCCCTTTTTCGGTCCTTGGACATACCATGTGCCAAACTAGATCCCACCAAATGAACGATTCGTAATTTCTGATTAGTCATTGGAGTTTCTGAGAACTCTTTAATTGGTATAGTATAGATAGATAGATTACACATATAGATTACACATATGGGCACACACAGAGAATGATTTACCCTGGCTCTGAGAGTATTTTGGATATCCAAATGCGATATCGAGCTTTGCCCATGGGGTGCAAGTGTGGGAGAAAGACGTCGTTGATATACACGAGGGTATGTGTTTTATTTTCTGGTTTTGGAAGGATGGTATTGTAAGGGTTGGACCATTTAATGTATATATTTTTCTAGACTCCGGAAGAACCCAGACTTAAATTAGATAAGCATGCAACATTTTACAAAAAGACCCAACAGAAAGTAGAAATTACAGCCTAGGTGAGAAACTTTGCAAATAGGAACCCAAAGGATGAAACTAAAAAGCAATCAAGTCCTTGGCACTTGCTTCGATCCTGGGTCGGATCCACCGCTGTCGGGGATGTGACCATTTTAATATATGATGTTGGCATTCATGCAAAACGAAACAGTGTACATACGTGAATTCGTAGACAAGCCTGCCAATGGTAGTTGGTTTCTACTAATTGACGATATACTCCATTACCCAATAAATGCTTTACAACATTATGTTCTCTGCAAACATAGAGCATGTCGCCAAGACATGGACGATCTTGACATAATGTACGGCCAACCGAATGATAAAACAGAGATTCCCACAGGCACGCACTGCAGACTCATGGGGTCAACGTGTATGCTTGGCCACTCTTTTTTTCTCTTAAATCAATGCGGCAAAATAATCTAGTTTTCAAAAGGACTAAAGTAAACATAAACTTAAGTCTCTTTGCGGTATATTGCGAACAAGATATATAATAATCTCCTCTCATTTTATTATGTAAGTAACTAGTACAATAACTTCTTGAAAGTAGCATCACAAATATTTAGGATTAGGTAACACATGAACCACACATATCATTTATACGTTGAGCTTACTAGTTGGCGGAGAATAAAGCCACACATCAAGATACAATGGATGGTGCGGGTGAATTGGCCAATCCGCTACAGAACCCGCAACAAAAGATGTTTCTAGGGCAGCACACTGGATTGTACCCCACCGGTCTAGCAGCTGCATGTGCTACCGATGATGCCATTATCATGAGCAAGCAGGCTTGCGCCATGAGAAAAACTATGATCACTTGGAAGATGCCATTGTCCGCCAATGCCTAAGAACACAGAACAACAAAAGATATATAGTTATGCAATAATTTGTCAACCAGTATATTTTTGTGGTCGTGAGGGGTACCGTTTAGTCGCCTTATATATATGTGGTGGCATCAAGGTTATCCTTATCCAATAATGTCATTAAATGACATGTTTCATTTTTCTTTGGATAATGGTTATCCTCTTCAAATAAATGGCAATGGTTCCTCCATCCC